TGATTTGTTATTCATGTCATATATAGAAGTAAGCTTATATAAGGGAGCATTTCCAAAAATGGAAAGAGGTGGGCGGGGTGCCACTGTGTTTGATTTATGACACGAGCAATTCAAGTTGTAGACATTAACACACAGTACCTTCATTAATGCATGTGATTATTGAAACTAGTGTATCCATATTTAAGAAAGTTTTTTACTTATTAACCTTGGCCATTTTAAACATACATTTTGTACTCTTTTTACCATATAAGAGCTGAAAATAGTTTTTAGTAGTGCTCTTTATATTAAATTGTAAGCATAATTTGTGTTATACTTTGCATCTATTGTCTTTCAATCACTATACTTTACACACAAGTATTATGAGATGAAAATATTGTTAACAGCAAGGATATCTAAGTGAATATTTAATTACTTAATTTATATAAGATTTAATTTTAAAAGATTGAGTATTTACAAGTCATTTGCTATAGCATATTGATTTATGTGTTATTTTGCATTAATGTGATTTATATGGTATTTTAAGTTTTTTATTTTGATCTATTGTTAGTTTACATTTGTTCAGAAGTTCATAATAGCAAGAGGAACACTACAGTATATGTGTTGTGTTAAGGTAGATTAATGTGTCTTATTTTTGTATCTCTTTTATAACTTTGTTAGGCTCTGACTGAATTTTGTGGAGTGCAGTTTGTATATTCTGATGAAATTGGAGAGGAGAACAGAGATAGAGAGATTTCTCCAGAAAATGCTAAAGAGTAAATATTCTACTTCAGATTTCTCCATAACACTAGTAGTTAGATTCAGAGTCTTTCAATAAGAGCAGTGTAGTTTTTCTTGTTTTGGAAAAATGCATTATTTAATTCAGAATTGATTTAAGCGTAATTTTAAAACCTTAATGATGAAAGGTTTTTTTTTTTTCACATGTTAGCCTGTAGTGTTTAGGGTTTTGTAGATTACTTCTAAATGTAAAATTTTTTGCGTGTGTTTACACATTTTTGGGAAAATGTGATTTGTGTTCATTTTTCAAACATTTCTGTAAATATTCATGTTGATGTGCAGTTAAAAATTAATGTTTTTAACCGGCAATTCTCCTCGGGTATTTTTTGAATTTTTTAAAAATCTAATATCAAACAATAAAACTATTATGAATATTAAAATATCCCATTGAATTCTTTGCAAATCAACAGTAATTTTATAAAGAAAATTGTTTAAATTTAATTTCAATTTTTATTTAACTTATGATTTATTAAGTATAAAAAAGCAATAAAAGTAATTGTTTATTCTTTTTATAAATGTTTTACATGGCTGAAGCCTTTTATTTTAGAGCTAGGAAGCAATGATATACATATTGTAATCAGTTATGCTATTACATGGAAAAGTAACAAGTATTACTTAAAATATAAAACGACCTAAGTATTGCTAATAGAGTCAACAGTAATCAACACATAAAGACATTTTCTGAACAGTGTGTCCTTGGCATTTTTCATGAAAAGTTATTACTCTTAAAAAGAAGTTTAAAAAGTAATAATGGATTTTAGGTAGTTTCATCTTCAGTTAAAAAAGGAAAAGTTGCTTTATAATCAGGCATAATTTCTGGAAGTAAATAATTTCATTATTTATGTACTTATTCCTTTTCCCATAAACATAAGTACTGTTTAGATATAGTTTATTTCTCCTTAACATGTAAATTATAGGATTTAATGTTTAGACATCATTTATTACACTTACCATGCCCACATACAATATAATGTTTAGATCTAGTTCATTAACCCTTAACTTGTACCACGTAGAATATCATGCTTAGGAATAGCAACTTACTCTTTATCATCTACACTTAGATGATAATGTTTAAACCTAGTTCATTACTCCTTCACATATAACATGCAGAATATGATCTTTAGTCATCATAGAGTCGGTATACTCTGTATGTAGGGATGGCCAAGATACTTAATAGACATAATGACCAATCTCATAACCATTTTGTAATCATGTATTTTACAGTGTAAAATAAAATTTGATATTGCTTTCATGTAGGGATGATGCATGTATAGCTGTATTATCCCTATATTCTTGTTTGCATTCTTTTTGTCACTGCCATCCATACATCATTTTACACTTACAAAATGTTTTTTCTTACTTGCTGTTATTTACTCCGTATTTAACATAGAAAGTAATGTTTCATCATAGTTCATTATTCTTTAACGTGTGCAGATAGTAGGTAATGTTTGATCGTAACTTATTACTCCTTACTATGTACACACAGTAGATAATGCATCATTCTAGTTTCTCTCTCTTTAACATATACACTTAGACAAACATATTTAGTTGAGTTTCATTTCTCTGTACCACATACACATAGAAGATAATATTTTAACATTGTTTATTCTTCCTTAACGTATAACACATTGACAATAATGTATAGACTCCTTAACATGTACACATAACGGTTAATGTTTCATCATAGTTCTATACTTCTTAACATATACACACATGCTCAGTTCTAATTATTTACTCCTTAATATATACACATGGAAGATAATGTTCAGTTCTAATTATTCAATCATTCATGTAACATGTTTGGTAGCTCCTCTCTGGAAATTTCAATCTCCTCCTGTCTCAGGCTTGACTTCCCCTTCCCAACATTCCATCCATTCTGATCCATCCTCACACATCACTCTTTATTAGGGATATGACATCCCTTTACCTTTGTATGTGGGATTTGTCCTGTTCACCTCCTGATCGTGTAGCTGTCCCTTTGTCCCACTCCTGTCATCTTTCTACCACTTCTTTGTGTAAGTGTATAAGTGTACTTATCACCATTGATCTCACTGTCATCAGTTTCCCTTTGACTTCATTGCATTGTAACATATTCCTCCTCTTTCATGGGACTGTTCTTTCATTAACTGTATGCCTCTTCTACCTTGGATTTTTGGGCAGCATTTCCACCACCTTCTGCCTTTCCTTATGCCACAGGATAATTTATTCTCTGGCTTTTTTCTATCCCTCTCCATTCGTTCCTTATCCATTGACCCCCCCATTGTTCACATATATATGTACCCTTTTTTCCTCCCACGTTCTTATTAGTGCACTTCTTCATCCTGGCCAGGCTTTCCTGCCCTTGTATTCCATGGCAGGGGACAGTAGTCATTCCCTTTCTCCCATATCCTTCTATTTCACTTCTCATTGTTCTTTCTGATCTGGACAGACACTCATGTTTTGTCCATGCTGTGCAGTGTTTTTCACTCTCTATCTTCTTTGTGATTCTCCTCACTGTTCTTTTGTACCCTGGGCCTCTGTCCTTCCTGTATTATGGGTTAGATCTGCCAGCTCATACATTTTGAATATAGCCCTCTGGAGGCGAATGATGTGGTCTCTTGAGTCTTCTCTCTTCAGTTTTCTCTTCCCAATTTCCCTCAACCTTCTCTTTTTCTCCTGGTTAGCATGTGGACTACCCCACACCTCATCATGGCCCATTATCTGCATCTCCTGCTTGTCTTGTTTCCAGTAGGATTTAGACACCTAAGCTATATAAAGTTTGGAGGCACCTTGTTAAAAAGTTACACCAGAAGGTCTCACAAAAGTGCATACCAAAACAGGACTTTGGGTCACCTCAAAAAAAATTAAAAACATATATATATATATATATATATCTATGTTGCTATTAAATAATTAAAGGGGTATTTAAAGTGAAAAATACAAATTATTTTCAAATGAATGCATTTACTGATTACATATTTATCAATCTGAAATTTTGTGAGGCCCTAAGCTGTAGCTTGTTTAGCTTATGCCTAAATCTGGCACTGTTACTCCAAATTCCACATCAAGCCATGATAATGGAAAGTGCTTATACCATCTGCTCTGGCTTCTACATGTGCCCATTGTGAGATGGGGTGTTCTGTAAAACCACTTGAGATTTTCTCATGGTATTTCTAAATCTAACTATATTACATTTCTTGTCTGATCCAGACTGTATTCGTTGCATGAACTATCATGGAAAAAGCCAGCCCCAGAGTTGTGTATTTGCCTGCTCCTCTGGCCTGCCCTTGCCGACTTTTAATAATAGGGTTTTGCGGTCACCTGTTGCACTGTCTCCAGTGAAAGACAGAGAGCCCAATGAGAATCTGGGCACATTTTCCAGGTCTCCACTGTGCAAATTTACTTCCCATCATCAAGTGTAACATGGGAGACCCTTGTCACTTACCAGCTTCCAGCCATTGAGGTGATGGACCATTGGGAATTCTCACTGATTGGGACCTAACTGCCGAGGCGAGAACAAGGTGAGAAGTGGGGCTTGGATGTTTTTGGTGTGTAGTGTGGTTCACCCCACATACATGTAATTAGATACATCACAATCCTCAAGTAGACTGAGGATACATATAACTGTATCACTCATTTATATAAGCTTTCTCTCAATTCTTGCTCCCACAGCTGGCATGAGCCCACTGAGTTTGACTGTTGAGTAGATGAACCATTCTCTACACAACTATGATTTATCACTCATACACCCTACTCCCACAGCAGGCAAGGGGCTCACAGTGACCAGTGGTTGAGTACAGGTTATATAAGTCTCCATAATCACATATTCCAATACACTGCCCTCCTCCTGCAGCTGGCATGGGGCTTGTGATGACTGATGGTTGAGGAGGTGATCACGGATACTTATAACAAGTCCCCTGCTCCCATAGCCGGTATTGACCCATTGAGTCTGATAATAGAGGAGGTGAGCACACAAGGTATGCTCTGAATGAGCCCCAACTTCACTACATGTATTGACCATCTGATGGCTTATGTACAAGTAATCGGGTGACATTGTACCTATTCCACTCATCCTTGCTACACAAGTATGGATTTTCAGCCTTTTCTCTTTATATACATGGGTGAAGAGTATACCCTGGATGAGATGCGATCTCCCATGGGTGTGCCCCTTTGGAGTCCCTGCCATCGGTTGTTACACCCCCATGGGCTTTCTTTGGATACTTTCTGAATGCTCATCTAGGTAATCTTTGCACTGGTCTCCACACCATTTCAGTGTGAGATTCTAGCTATCTTTGTACGAAGCTGAGTATTTGTTTCAGAAGTTAACATTTTTCTTACCTGAAAATTTATTTCCTATTGATACTTCTGTACACATTTCTCCCATCCTCTCCACTTGTCTTTATTGCTTTGTCAAACAATGAAGATTCTTGCATGCAAATGTAGAGGGAGGATTTGTGCATGGAATTACGTTGCACTCCCATTGGTGGAGGGCTTTGCTGCATGACACATCATCATGAAGTATCACAAACTTACATTGTTACACATGAATTTAGGTGGGAGTTTTGCTGGGATCTGATAGCCCATGATTTGTGGCCCATTACTTCAAGACAAATCATGCTGTGCATTTTGGGGTCATGGGTATATTTAGTAAAAAATCAAATTCCACGATTTCAGTAAAGTAGCCCAAATGTTAGCAGTGAGTACTGTTGACTAGCTGACTTCCCTCTGTAGTATCAGTTCAGAATTAGGGATTACTAGCATAGGCAGCTGTTGTGTAGCTTTGTGAGAATATCCAAACCAAGATGCATGTACATTGAACATTTAAAATACATGTGTTTAAAACTATTATAAACATATTTTGTATAATTAACTTTCATGCTACAGACTTGGCTAGTTTGACCAAGTTTGTGACTAAATTGACCTTCAGAGTTTCCATACAGCTTTCAGTAATCATTATAAGTCTTTTGTAGATAAAAGATCAGAATTTTTAATGAAGTATTTTTGCAAAGCATTTCTCCTTGAATATATGAATTCAAAGAAGTGTTGACTGATCTTTATGCAATATGATTTTCAATTTGACTGACCTCGTAACCACCATAAAAAATGCAGAATAAATCTAAAGTTACCCTTTTTTCTTTCTATAATGACTGCAAATTGTAACAGGAAACTACAGTTTTTTATCTTAAATACATCTGTTTCTGCTTGAATTTTATTGCCCTTTAAACTGTGTCTAACTAATAATCCCGACACAAAAGTTGAAATAACTTGGTGAATGTGAAGCTCACATTACTGTTTGAATTGTATAATGCACGAGCTATTAGTGAGCTGCTCACGAGCATACATCAACATTATCTTATCTAATCTAACATTGTCTAACCTAATAAGATTCTAATTTTTACATTGTAGTTACTTTTATAATAATAAATAAAGAATACATATGAAAAACAAGAAATGTAATACTTACTGGAGACTTCTTTTTTGTTTTTGCTATTGAATGTTAATGAAACTTAAGTCTACTTTTTTATACTATTGGTACTGTTACAATAAATAATTTTTATTTAATTAAATAATACACCTAAGAACATAGAATAATAACACAAAGCAGATAATGTCTTATAACTATCCAAATGTTTCTGGCTTTCTAACTATGTAATAAGAGCTGTTAAAAATTCGGCTAGGCTCATAATTGTGTTTCCCATGGGAAGCAAAATAGACAATTCTTTGTATAGAAAGCAACATAATATCTCATTTGATAGATTAAAACTTTGACTTTCTGTTGGTAATAAGTAATATAGTATTAAATGTCAGAAAGAACTATTAGCAATTTGTGAAAGAGAGGATGTGGCAGATAGGTGTGGCAAGTGGGTCTGATTTTCTAGTTTATGGCTTTGTAAACAAATAAGATTGAAGGCTATAACAATTATGCTTTACCTGAGTAATAACAATATTATATTAAGTAATTTATGTTAAATTCTGGAGATGTGGTAAAGATCTAGAGAGCAGATGTCACAATTTTAATACTAGCAAAGATTGAATATTTTAAAAAATATTTCATTATAAAATTAAGAACTTAAAACTTGTATAATATTAAAATATGATATTTTAACTACGATTTGTTATCAAGTTTATTCATATACCATGATAATGAACTAGTTTAATTAAATTTAGAATGTAACTATAAAAAGTTGTGACATGCACTTTGATCTGCCCATGGCAAGAGGGTCAAAACTATTGTACTATTTGCTTTTCTTGAATATTTTGTTTTGCAGTTGACACTGTTGTACTTTTCGAAATTTGTCTATTAAACATATGGTACACCCAAAATTTATATAGTCATAGCCATCTGATGTTTAAAAATGTTTAATATAAATTATAGGTATGATGAAAGTAATTGTATTTTTTAGATCTGCTTTTAAAATGTGATTTTTGGTTTAAACTACAAAAATATATTCTATATTAAGTATAACAGAGATATTTCATATTTTTGTTCAAGTGCAGTTTGTTTCAAACTAACATTGATATTTTCTAATTGCTTTGTTGTGAATTATGGCACTCATACTTTTATTGAGTTTTGATTATTGTATATATTGTTTTTTTTGTTATAGCTGTATAATTCCTGAACTTTTACCTATTGATCTTCGTATTAAGCTGGCAGTGTGTTTAATACATGTCAAAGCTTTGAGTTTAATAAAGGTAAAGTATCCTTTCCATTAATTTACACTTGTAACTAGTTACTTTTACAGTAATTTGTGTGAAATGTATGTACAGATTTACTATAGATAACATTTGATTTCTTCTACATCACTTGTAGCTGAAAATATGTTATTTTTTTATTTTCAGGAGAAAAACGTTTAGACTGTTGAAACATTTTACAGAAATTATGTTCAGAGTTGTTTATCTAATGATTTAATAACAAACTGTTATTATCCAGTATGTTATCCACAGTAGGTGACAACAAAATATTTTGGTAACTCAAAACCTAATTTATTGATTGATGTATTGTATTCAAACAATGCACATAAATAATTCACATATTAAATATAAATTGATTTTGACCAAGAATAATAGCAAAAATATTGATACCTAATTTGAAAAGTCAGATCTTAGGTTACCAATAAATAAGTCAGCTCCTGTGGTGGTTTTTACAATTTATAGCTGAAAGTATTCCATATATCAAAATAAATATTTGTATGATTATCAGTGTAGATCTATGAAATGGAACTTTCTGATCAAACATTTTAAAAATTAAATCCTAACATATAGGAAATATTTTTAATGTTTTTTTCTTCATAATAGTGTCTCAAGATAAAAATAGCCTAATGTGTCTGACATGCTTAACTGTGCTGATTAAAGAAGACTTGAATCCTTAATTGCACAGTTGCTTTTATTTTGGTATGTTTATGTGATAAATATAGTCAAAATTCTAATGACAGTACTTTATGGAATGGGTGGTACATTGATAAAAGTGACAATATACAAAATTAATAATGAAAGAAAAAGTTTGATGGAGGAAAGTCTGACTATTTAAAAAATATTGAATTTTGATATACATAAGAAAATGGAAGACAGAGGTGAGTTAATAATGTATTTAATGCTTTAATTTAATGTTTATAACTGTTTTTGTTACTTTAAATGAATAGACATTAGTTGAACCACTCCTGGAAGAAAGCCCTGAAGCAATGGGTGATCTGTATCTAGATGTTGCAGAGGCTTACATGGATGTTGAAGAGTTTACTGAAGCTTTGACTTTTCTCTCGGTTCTTGTAAATTCACAGAATTACAATTTGGTGAATATAATTTTCTGTTTTGTTTTGCCATTCTAAGATATAAAGATTTTTATTGTTTCTTATGTTAAGTAGAGTTACCTACATTTTTAGTTGCAAGTCTTTAAATTTTTTGTATAAAGTCATAAATTTGAAACTTAGTGAGTTAACTCTACCAAGATGGATCTGACAGGTCTTGCTATGGTCAGGTGTCAAAGGGCATGTCATCACATTTGTAGACTTACATTTAAAATTTTATTGAACTACTATTGTATGAATGTATGTCAATAAGTTTGGTATCAATTTGAAGATTAAAATCAAAATTTTAGTGTTATACATTAGTTAATTTCTTAATTTAAAAGTAAATATTAAAACAAAATCCTAAATATTGATTTTTGTGTGTCACGTGGTATGTTGAATGCAGTATTGTTTCAGATTAGATGTTTATGATGTCCAAGTACAACGTCTATAGTTTCTTGTGAATTAGAAACTCAAATTACCAATATTGACAAGCTTCAATATAAAATAAGAACCTCTTATCTTTTCTATTTGCTGAGATATTGCTTCATGTACTTATTCAAACATAGTGGCTATTTTTTTTTTATATTTTTGCTGAGATATTGCTACAGTTAATAAATCAAACACAGTGACCCCACACACCTCTTTCCAATCTTCGAAATACTTGCTTATGTACCCCAACTTCTGTTTATGATGTATGAATAACTAATCAAAAGCTCAGAATGTCCCCCACATGATTCTCTGAGTCACTGCGAGGTATTTAAGTGGGAAACTTTCTTTTCATGGTAGATTCCAAGCTGTAAGGTAAGACATTATTGAGCTCGAAAAATCATATTTTTTTAGACTATTTATATAGTAATTTATGATTTTTTGTTATTTCAAAATGCATATATAAAACCTAAAAAGAATAATTTTGTTTTACATTCTCCATATGTGAAATCTGATAATGCTTAGCAAATTACAGCAAGCAGCAAACAAGTACAAAGTTTGTGACTAGAAGAGATAATTGTTTTCTATACTGCTTTATTTACTGTTCTATGTTTTATGAAAAATAACTGAAATTTAAGAACTTATTTGTAAATAGTAATAATGTATATACATATATAATGTATTATAACTGAAATGTGATTATGTTTTACAATTATGTAGTCCACTAAAACACAGCCAGGGTCACTTTGTAATGGCCAGTTTTATGTTATTGTATACACTAACATGAGTGCATATGTGCTGCATCATTCAACTTCTGTAATGTTAGTATGATACTGCTGAAATAAAGTAATAAATTTTTATACATATAAAATGATATGAGATTTGCAGTAATTCTGGAAAAAGTGTAGTTTATATCTATTTCCTATTTTTCTATGGTGATTATGAGGTCGATGGAATTGACGAAACCCTTACAAAGATACAATAGTGAAAATAATAAATAAAATAAAGTTTTTCTAAAATAAACATTTGGTAATTATCTGGAGTATATTAGGAGGTTATAGAGATTTTGCTTGTGAAATTTTACAATTTTCTGTTGCATAAAAATATTTTTAATCTTAAAATCAAAATTACTTCATGTTGGATAGTGAACATTTGAAAATAAAAAATGCTCAAGTAAATAATTAATTAAAAAATCTGATACTTTGTGTACAAATGCCTTGCAATGTTTACTGATAATTTGTAAAACTTCATGAAGACACATATACATTTTAAAAAGTTACAGTACAACTGCTTTTTGGTTACTTTGGGAATATGGGCTGGGTATTAGAAGGGTTAATTGTTGTTTTTTTTATATAGAAGTACTAAATTACAGTTTGGAAAAGCATAAAATAAGCTTTGTTTGAGGATTAAAAATAAAGTGTATAACGAATATATTATTATTTTCAAAATGATGGTCAAAAATTTAATAATGTTTCAAATTAAATTTTTTTTTCTGTAACATTGGTAACTGTAACTGATATAAAGCTCTGTTTAAAATGTATGGGCCAGTGGTTAGGGTTTCAGATTGTGGAGCCTAAGTTCTGTGTTTTTTATCCTGTTACCAACAAAAAGGAATTGAGCTCTGCATTTTGGGGTCATGGATACTTTATAAGAGTGATGATCATATCCTATTATTTGACTACAGTAGCTCACACGTTGTTGGTGGATATTGTTGACTAGCTGCCTTTCCTGTAGTGTATCAATTCAAAATAAGGGACAGCTAGTGCAGATAGCCCTTGAGCAGGAGCATCGAGACCCAGCACGGGCCCATGGGCAAACATTCTCG